CGCATAAACTTTTTCCTAATCATACAGAGAATGTGGATGTAGCAGCTGTAGCAGTTTTCTCCGCGTGTTCGTCTCTAAAAAATATCTAAATCTTCGATTCACCAGAGATATCCACTAATTTCAATTCTGATGATTAATGATAAATAGTAATGATCATTGGCTCATTAATACTAACACGAACAAAACCAGGCGAAACAGGCACATGTTTGACGAGCCTACTTTTTATTAGTTCTCGCGTGTCGAGCGCAGGACGATTGCTTTTATTTTCGAGCGTTCACATTTCGAGCCGGCGTCTCTGGACCGGCGAACAAGTTTAATTAGATCGAGCCATTCGTCCACGGGTCGATATCGAGTTCTCGATGATATCAGGGAAAGCAAGAACGCGCGGATAGCAATCGCCGGCGCGATTCGCGCGTATAATCCAGTTCGTCAATTATCACCGATAAATTGTGTTCGGCGCGCATTATCGGTGCATGGTCCTCTGCGCGAATAAATATGGAATACGCGCAATATGCGTCGCATGAACATGCGATGCGCTAGAAATCGTGGTGATTTATTCGCCATGATGTGTGTCGTGTCGATGCGCGTGTTGTCGGCTTCAATCCCGTGCGAGTAACGAATTTTCGCTTGATCTTTGTGAATTACGACTGAACATTCGCTCGAGGTTGCTGGCTTCATAATGTCTGAAGACTCGAGATCGATCGGTTTTTTTAAATAATTAGATATGCTCGGGCTAATTCCTTCGAAATACTTCAGATATCGTTATCAATTCGGTCGGATTGTAGAAACGACGTTTTCTAGATTTGTATTTTTAAACGCACACAAGTGAGAAAGGACGCATATATTAATTTACGCGAAGTGATTAATGCATTCGACGCGCGCCGGCGGCTTGCTGTATTTTAATAACAGCCACCTAAACTTTTGTGCCTTTTAATCCCATTAGCGCGTTTATTCGCGTTCGCAATAAAGCACCCCACATTTACGGCGGCTCTGTGCGAATCATTATAAATTATACAAGATAGCAACCTCGCTCCCTGCATGACAGTTGCCGATCTAGAATTTCATATTAATTAATACAACAGAGGGGTAGCCGTGCCGCGCCGTGCGCGTTATTATTAATTTCGATGCACGCAGACTCCCCCGTCGCAAACTGTTTTCGCATTATAACTTCGCTCGATGTGGAATCCAGGAACGAGAAGCGCACATTGCTTCGTAATATACTTAAATTATGGATGATAATAATCGGGGGATCGAGAGCCGTAAATATTCTAAAAAATAGTTCATAATGAGCAAACAATGAACATATATTGAATGAATATTGTATGTTTTGGATATTTAATGAATTTACACGCGGTGTGCATAGGGAAAATATTGTAATAAAAATTACAATACAAATTCTTGTAATCTTGAATCATTTCGGTATTTAGTAATGCGCTTAAATCGTTATGGTAATAATCAGGAGAGCAAGCTCCGTTAATTTCAGAAAAAGAGAGCCAATAATGGATGCATGTATCGGACGAATATTGTTGCATATTTAACAAGGTATTATACACAGTTACATAATATATGTTTAATGGGCGCAACATGCGCGGAGAAAATACTGTGAAAATTGAAATAAAGTTTTTGTAATCTTGGAGGCAGAATTATTATGGCCGAAATTATTATATTTAATTATTTACTTATTTACAGTTATATATATTTATTTATTTAAAAGTATTATGCGCATTTGACTTTTGACTATAAAAATATTGTAATTATTATTTGAATATTTTTTTATATCGTATATCAGATCAGTCAGATTTGTTATTTTTACAGCAGTTTTGTATTATAATTTCAGAATATGCAAAAAAAATATTGTAGAAAGAAACAATTTCAATGTAATTTTTATTATAATATTTTCTAGATAGTAGATAATAAGGATAAAAATAGCCAGAGTCGTACTTCAAGATGAACCAAATTGCGAAAATTGCCGTATCATAATGGATCAATCGTCAGTACGAAAATGCAATATGTATTCCTTAGTCGCGTTTATTTTTCGATCGCGCTTAATTCAAACAACATAAATATACCAGTAAAACTGCGACATATGTAAACAATAACAGCATGTTGTTTACTGGCGACTAATTATCAGCGATTCCAATATTCGCATTTCGCGACTTACTCACTCGAGGAGAAAAAGCATCATAAAAAAAAGGAATAACTTTCCTCTTCTTTACGCCAATCACCACGTCCATACCACTCCCTTATATCGTCGATGTGTCAAGCCGGTCGTGTTATAAATTTTAAGGAGCTTAATTCCGCGTAATTAGCAAAGTTTCTGGTCTGCCTCGCAGGCAAGGGAGTCGTGAAGGGAAGAGGCTTGAAGGACGGAAGAGGCAAGGGAAGGAAGAAAGAACGAAGACGAAGAGGACCTTTCGAAACTTTTTAAGACCGAACTCTTTAAAGCACGCTGACATTTTTCGGTCGCTCGTTATTTACTTTTTCACGAACCCGGCATACGCGAGTCGCTAGGCTGGTGGAGGGGCGCGGGCGGCCGCCGCGAAATCGACGACATTTTGATTTATGGGGCGAAAATGGAAATTCAGCGTTAGTGCGCGGGGCCGGGGTCCGCGTCCCGGGGGACCCCGAGACGCCTTTATCCCGTAGCGACGACAATTTTTTCGATCTGCACCTCGATCATCGCCGCGCGCCTCGCTCGTTCACGGGGAACGTTCGCGAGAGTGCTCTCTTGCGAGATTTATGACGGCGCGATCGCGAACGGAAAAATGAAAGCCGCGAAATACGTTGAGAAAGGAATCGATCGTCTCGAGAAGTACAAATCGACATCCCGCTGAAACCAGCTGTACCGGTTGTGTACCATCATCTTTGCGAAATTGAGTCAGCGTTGCGAATGTAATTTTTTATATTCTCCAAATCGCAGGTTAATTTAGACCTCCCTGTTTGATTGCTATCCAGCGTTGCTTTTGCGATTCGACCGTGTCCGTATCCTGATAGAAATGTATGCAGTTTGTACAAACATCTACGTTATTATGCAATATTAATGCATTCTTATTAGTTGTAAAAATACCGCGCAGAAATTGAACAAGAATTTGATAAAGTTTTATTTAGTGGTTGAAGCAGTTCATTGTGTCAATACATAGATTCCTTCCAAGATTCATACTTCTAAATCTTAAGATGAGATTACATAACGTTAAACGAAGAGGAGTTAATTGCATCAATACATTTTATACGATTCAGCAAAGAAAAATATATTATTATTCTTCAACAATAATTTTTATGAATGGGAAGTATTGGATTGATAATATATTTTTAGATATCGGGAAATTGAAATCATTATTATCAAAATAATTACAATATATTTCTCGTAAGATTATTACAATATCTAAATAAAATAATAGCATTGTTATTGTTGAAATTGAAGACTTCAAAATTTTTCTGACAAAATTATATCGTTGCTTATATATGAAAAAAAAATTATTGTTAATTTGAATACATTAGTTTTAAATGAATAGTAACTTTTTTCTGTGTATGAAAATTTTCAGTTGAGGAGCACGCACAAAAAATGAAATATTACTAGGGTAAATCTACCCATTTTATGAGCGTACAGCACACTTGAAAATTAATCGATTGAACAGTTTTTTCTCTTTTCTGTTCTGTTCTCGTTCAGTAAATACGTTCAAATTGTGTGGATTTTACGTGCGCGGTAACTGTAGGAGGAGAGAGTTACGTCTCGATTGAGACGCCAAGTAGTTTTACTCTTCAGGTACCAGACACAGGCTAAAATAACTGTCCCGCAACTGCTTGAAAACTGAATTAAATTTCTGCCAGAGTAAAATGGGCTTTTAATATTCACAATTGACTGTTTAGTTTGACATGATTACGATTCGCCGCGGTCTTAATTATCCGCCGGGTGAAATTTGCCGCAACGTCGGCCTTAACTCTTGCCGCAGTTATTCCGTTCCTGACGAATGATCGAAGCTCCTCCGCCAAGGACTCTCGGCGTTGGCGGTGCGAGGGGTTGACGCGCTATTTCAGGAAGCTATAGTGATTACGCTTCGGTCGCCAATGAGAGCTTATCTTGGCGACGGCTTCTAAAGATGGCACCTATATACATGTATATGTATGTGTGTGTGTGTATATATGCGTGCGCGCCGTTAGTAGCCGCCGCCAACCGCCCTTTCACCCCCTTGACCCACCTCGTGGCTAAACTACGCCAGGCTCGGTAAGTTATTACGTCGTGAAAATAAGAGGAAAATTGAAAAGCGGTTTAGCCGTGAAAACGGTGTCAATTACCGTCGATGTCGGTGATACCGTCGGTAGGAAGTGAGCGTTTTTCGCGGCCTGCATCCCCCCGCGTGCCAGGGGATGCTTTTACCCTCACAAAGGACGACACGACGAGAAGAGACACTTGGAGAATATTTCTCAGCGATAATTTTCTAACGTTATTATCGGCCGAGATTGCAATTACTAGGAGATGGAAGAGGGGGTTAGAGGAGAAATTAATTTATTGCGTTCGTGGAGGGCGGAAGCGGTGGGATGCAATCTGATGAAACGTAACGAGAGGGTAATTCGTTATACGTTGGTCGGGGGTAATTTGTTACGCCGCCTTTCGCAGGTGAGTGATAGTGGCGACGAAATTTGTGTGTGTGCGTAATAAGGGGTGGACGTGAATGGATGACGAAGAGGGGCTTACGTTTACCGACGTCGTGGCGAAAAACTTCTGATGTTGCGAACTTGTTGTCTCGAATGACTCAATCGCGCTTGAATTCCATAAGCATTTTCAGCGTGCCTCTTTATTCAGTTGCTCTCGTCGCCTTTATTTTTACTCGTATTATATAATCGCGACAAACATTAGCGACGTGCACAATAGCACACCGAGTCGCGGCCATTTATTCCGGAACTCACGGAACCGTGTTGGAGCGTGTTTACGTGGCCTAATAAATTTGCCAAGCTCCTGAAACTCCCTTCGAACTTTATGATAAAGCGCCGGCGTCACTTACCGGTAGGTGTACATGGAGTTCTTGCCGCCTCTACGAGGTCTTCGCGACTTCCAGGCGGCGCCTCCAGCATTGTCGCGCTGCCGGAAAATTTCTTTACGCACAGCAGGCTCAACGCTATAAAAGAGAAAAAAAAATAATGTTGTGATTAACTGATATCATCGATCTCATATCGGGTGAATCCAGTTCGCAAAGAATTACTATTGATTCGCGAAAAATTGCAAGGTAAATTTAATCCGATAGCTTGAGACTAAGAATGCTAATCGCCGAAAAAATAAAAGAAAGAAAGAGAAAATTGAAGCAAACTCGCAGGAAGGAATTCTTAATTAAATGACTTCGCATAACTGCGGAATAATTAGGGCACGCTGCGGAGCTTGCTTAGCATTTTCAGGCGATGTAGTCCGCTTGGCATTCGATAGCTCTTTCCCAAGAAATTGGAGACGCTACATACATATTTATAGGCGACGCGGAGTCCTTCGGGAATTTGGCAAGCAATCGGAGCGCCGCTCTAACCGTCTCGGGGTAAAAGGATCAAGAGTGCCTGACCTAACTTGTGTGTGTATTGCTTCCATTTTCGATCTTATTTTATAGTTTCTGCCGCAATACTGTCAAACGGATCTAATATGCGATTGCACCAAATAAATCCACTGTTCGCGATTTAGAGAAAAGAAAGTTTCTTTCTATAGCCGAGTGTTCTTAAAAATTTCATTTCATTTATTTGCGCTCATACATATTTTCTTCTAACCTCCTCAACTCTAGTCACTGAACATTTTTTCCAAGTCATAATCTCTCCGTTTATGCTTTGATTTTACGAGTAAATCTACCCAAAAGTTACACTCCGATTTCTTTCTAATTTGCCATAAATGTAAAAGTACAAAAAATATTTAGGTCATATTTTTCATTTTGGGCCACTTTGAGTTTTACTGGCAGTTTATAGCTTTTTAATGTTCTCACTCCTATCATCAACAAGTACAACAAAAATACATAAGAAATAAAATTGAATACAAGATATAGGCATTTTTGGTTTACTGATTATGAATATGAAGTCAAATGTGTAGAATTATTTGTATAAGTAATAAAATGCTTAAACAAAACATATAAAAAGTTAAAAAAAATTATTTATACAAATAATTTCTCGATTTGGCCAAGATTCGAATTATTTTTGACTAATTTAGCACAGATTTCAAATATTTCGGTTGAAATCTCGGCTAAAGAAATTTAGAATGGTTTATCTCAGCTATGCTGATTTTGTTAAAATTATTTAACTATGTCTTATATTCAACTTTATTTCTTATGCATTTTTGTTGTACTTATTGATGATAGGAGTGAGAATATTAAAAAGCTATAAACTGCCAGTAAAATTCAAAGTGGGCTAAAATGAAAAAAATATGACCTAAATATTTTTTGTACTTCTAGATTTGTACCAAATTAGAAAGAAATCGGAGTGTAACTTTTGGGTAGATTTACTTGTTGGTAGCTTTTAAGTCTGACAGTTAGCTGTACTGAAAAATGACGTCCAGCAAGAAGCCCGAGCTTATAATTTGTTACATATTGTTTTCGATCAAGCCTTTGTAAATTTTCTTTGGTAAATTTCAGAATTAAGATATATTTTATCGTATTTTTTCATTTAATATTTTATAAATATTCAATATTTTATTTAATATATTTATTTATAATTCTAGTCTAAAAATATTTATCCAAGCTAAGACCTAATATCCAGCACTGGAAAAATATATAATTATATTTTTTTGAATACGCATGTAATTTACATTAATTTATCCGGTGATTCTTCCATGCAACCATTTATTTTGCAATTTCTGACGGAGAGCCTCGACTATGTCGAGATTAACTTCTGAAAGCAAATACCTCTTCAAAGTTCCAGAGATTCATTTACCGATATACCGGAATTTGTCCAAGCTTCACCGGGAACGCGCTTCGTCGAAACGTTTTCATTCGTTAAAACAAAAGTTCGTAAGAACCGAAATTTATCAAAACTTGAAAATTGAAGTTTCAGTGAACGGAACGATCACCGCTCTTTCCGTGCCTCATCCGTCATCCACCTAGCTATGTGATATGTACGTGAGGTGAAATTCGAACTCTTATACACAACGTCGCGTTCGAGGTGATTCGGGCTTCACGACCCAAGAATTTTATTTATATCTTAGCCGAGAGAGCTCATTAATCTTCGCCGTTTCGCGTACAATGGCTGTCGGTCGAAAATGTAGTTTTATGTCAGAATAAAAATACAACGTTACATTCGAAACCAGGCCAGGAAGAAATTTGAGAGAACGCGTGTCTTGCGACGATCTAACAATTTTCTTGACGAACAGTACAATATAGCATTGTTAGAATATAGAACCATCCTCCTATCAAAGAAATTAAAATGTTTATTTGACGTATCTGAAATATCTATTATATATAGCTATGACTCCGTATTTTGAACTCGCGTTTGTACAGTCTTGCATCGTGCATAAAGTCTGATAAGCGCGGAAGTATAAAAATATTTTTTCTTACGAAATGGATGGGCGAGTACGTGTGAATGTGCACAGTCTAGAAGAAGGATAACCGGAGATAAAGCACGAAAATGTGGAGTGGTTGATCCGTGCATTGTTGTGTGTTTTTTTTTTGTATATGGCGTCTGTATCAACTGACGTGTCTGCATAGCTCAAGGTATAACTTTCTAAATAATATTATAGCCATAAATCAAAGCATGATTTATCGACTCACCCCGCTTCACGTCTCGCCACGTGTTCGTGATTTCGCCGAATCTGCCCAATCCGTTTGGTGTCCGTCCATATATTCCTCTCACATCGTTTCGATGCTCGGTTTTCCTCGACCCTGTTAAAAAATATAATATTTTACTTGTTGCTATAGATAATATAATACTTTATATATACATACATACACACACACACACACACACACACACACACACACACACACACACATATATATATATATATATATATATATATGTATATATATATAAAATATATGTGTATATATATATATGTAAGTTATATATTATAAGTTATATATATTATATATATATAACTTATATATTATATATATTATTATACTTATATATTATATATATTATTATATATATATTATATATATATATATATATATATATATATATATATATAAACTTATAAATAATTCTCGAGATGCATATACGAGAGCAATGATTATAAATTTGAGAGAGCTTTATTCTAAATGTCAAGTTGCAATTGTCAAGTTGAAATTAATTCGTGTAAAACGAAAATTAAAAAATATAAAATATAGAATATTTATTATAAAATAAATATTATATATTTTTTTTTATTAAAACAAGAATTGTTTTTTTTTTGTCAAATTTCAAATTTATTCATTTTTATCTCATTTTTACGTGCCAATTGGCAATACTAATCAAACAAACGGCCGCCGGTCAACGAATTGCCGTAACGTCAGGAGTATTTCATGCGTGAAACTTTACGGACGAGCGCATCGCCAAATAATACATTTGCGGCGTACTGACTCATCGGGCCGACCATTTCTGGACTGTGGACATTTTTTCCGCACGTCGAAACTTCATTTTATTCTACGAGATCTGCGGAGATTACATTCGTGTCCAAACGCGACGCAATTTAACGACTACGTGTCGCACATGCGACAAATGCATAATGTGGCCGACCTGCATATGCATGAAGTCACAGAATATATATATATATATATATATATATATATATATATATATAT